GGCGGTTGCATCGCTCCAATCCCAGCCTGCTCCTTCCATGAATCCCTGTGCGTATCTGGTTTCTGGGTCCAACCTGCCCTCTTCAATCAGCGCGCCAGATCAGATGAGGACGTCTCGCTCATACTCTTATTTCCAAATACGGTCACACTCACAGGTTCGGCATACTCATGAATTTGTGCGTATGTGGGGGGCTCCCTGCTGGACTCTGCCCAATAACCAAGCATTAGAGTCATAAAGTCCTGGGTTCGAATCCTGGCTTTGTCACTAATGGGTTATGGACATTGGGTCTGCTTTTTTTTTTTTTTTAAGTATTTTTTTTTAATTTTTTTTTAATGTTTTATTTATTTCTAGGAGAGAGAGAGAGACAGCGTGAGCAGGGGAGGGTCAGAGAGAGAGGGAGTCACAGACTGAAACAGGCTTCAGGCTCTGAGCTGGCAGTCAGCACAGAGCCTGATGCGGGGCTCGAACCCACGAACCGCGAGATCATGACCCAAGCGAAAGTCGGACGCTTAACCGACTAAGCCACCCAGGCGCCCCTTTTTAAGTATTTTTTAAAATATTTATTTTGGGGGGAGAAGAGAGAGAGAGAGAAGGAGAGAATCCCAAGCAGCCTCCCCGCTGTCAGCACAGAGCCCAATGCGGGGCTCAGTCTCACAAACCATGAGATCATGACCTGAGCCAAAATAGAGAGTCGGATGCTTAACCGACTGAGCCACCCGGGGGCCCCTTGGGGCTGCTCTTAAGCTCCCTCTGATTCCTCAGGAGAATGAGGGCATGACACATGCCCGACAGGGCTGTTGTAAGGATTTGAGCTCATGCACTTAGAATAGAGAGTAGGTCTCACAGAACAGCCGTCTTCATCTTTCTTACTGCAGAAATCTGTCTTGGCTCTGTCCACCCCCTGCAGCTGGTATAAAGCTCTGGTTCCAGGTGTTTCCAACCCGACACACATCAGTGCCCCCACCCCTCCCGGGAGGTCTGGGGCAGGAGCACGGACGCGCGTGAAGCCTCCCGTGGCTGTTGCTGCTGGCTTCTCGGGCACACCTGCCCGTCTTCCGGGCAGAGTCCAGGAAATGGCATTCCCCACAAGGGAGAGCATATGTCCGGGGGAAGACGAGGGGAAAGAACAGCGTGATCCCAGCCGGGGGACATCTACGGGGTTCTTTCCACGGTTCCCAAGGTCCAGGCCTGCAGGTGGAGTGGGTAGGAGTGAGGCTGTCTTCAGACAGGAGGCTCACTCCCAGACTGTGGTATCTGGCTTGAGCTGCATCTAAACAGCTGTGTAGGCATCATAAATCTCTCTCCTGGAGATGAGGCGCAGAGGCCTCCGACGTGTCCTGCTAATGGTAAATCTGTCAGCGCCCACAGCACAAGCTTTGGACTCTGAAAGCATCAAGGTGAGACTGTGGGCCTCCCTCAAGCCTGCTAATTGTACCTCCAATCTATCGCCTTCCAAATGTGGAAGGCTGTCTCCTTCTACACTGATGGCAGCATCAAGGGGGTTTTAGTGCCAACGCAGGCTCAGCTCCAACTCCGATCTAAATGCCCCTGAACCTGACCTCTGACCTGCCGACTCTGGGCCGGGAGGACTCCCCTTTCCACAAGACACGGGGTGATTTGGCTGAGTTTAGCCCAGGCAAGTGTCCCTCAGGTACTGTGGAGGTCTGGATGGTTTTTGTTTGCGAGTCTGCTTGCTTTTTGGTGGAGTCTGTCTTTAAATCTTCACTTTCAAAAAAGAAAAGTGGTCATGTGCTTTATTTTGAACATGAAATCGGAAGTCCGGCTCCCGGATGTGTCACCCCATAGATGTAGGACTTTGAACCATCCCTTCATCTCTTTTCGATGCTTCACTGTAGAAAGACGATTATTAAATCTTCTCAGCTAGAAACGGGGATGAGATGGGATATTCAGTGGCCATCAGAGTTTTAGCTGGAAACAACCTGTGGATGGCTGATCCATCAACTCTTCAGAAACAGAGAACTCTGGTTTATAGCACATGCCAATTTCCGTGGTGTAAATAAGCCCATGGTGGGAACGATTGCTTCTCCTGAGCTGATGTGAGCTGGCCTCAGCACGTACCCGAAGACAAGGGTACAGATCTTATCGGCCAACAAATGTACCCAAAAGATAAGGCGTAGCTTGCACAATTTCCAGCTGGCAACGCAGACCTGGGAGTCTGTGCGGCCAGGAGTTAAGCACCGAATCATCCCAGAAATAATCCGATAGCGAAGGTGCTGCGGCGGTCCCCTCTGGCCCAAATACAGTAATTTGCGCCATCATCACCAACAATTCTGGACACCAGCCAATGCCGCTGAAGTTACAGACACGGACATCCCTGAAAACCACCTAACGGCTGCCCCCACCCTCAACAGCACCGACAAGGCACATGAGGGTGTGGCCCTGGTTCCCTCCAACAGTTACCTTCCCACTTCATCTAGGAAGTTGCATGTGATTGGTGGAGCCAAGTCACATGTCTGTGCCCCAGCCGCGAGGGGGAGAGTGTATTTGTTTCCTGTAGCTGCGATGACAAATTACCAGCAACCAGGTGGCTTAAAGCAAGGGAAATGGATTTATAGTTCTGGGAGGGGCTGAAGTTCAAAATGGCTGCAGGGCTGCACTTCCGCTGGACGTTCTAGGGAAGAAGGGATTCTTCCTTGCCTCTTCTGGCTTCTGGTGACCGTAACACTCCAATCTCTGTCTTCACTCGGCCTTCCCCTCTCCTCTCTCTCTGTCTCTCCTATGCGTGTCTCTTACAGGAACACTTACTGGATTTAGGGCCCACTTGGATCATCCAGGAGGAGCTCACCTTGAGATCTTTAACTTAATCACATCAGCAAAGATTCTTTTGGTAAAAGACTCTTTTACCAAACAAGGTCACATTTGTAGGTTCTGGGGTTTAGGACACGGGCATATTTCTCGGGGGCTTCCATTCAGCCCACTCTAGTGAGTGTCTGTATGTTCAGCCTCTGTAGCCCGCAGTGAGCTTTGCTTCACTGGATGGCAGTTGTAAGAAGGAGGTTCGGAGGCTGGGAAGTCAGAAAAACGTCCAGGGTCTTCTAGAACTGGGGTCACAAATGTTTTTGGTAAAAGGTCATAGGGCAAATATTTTTTGCTTTGAGGTCGTATGGTCACAGCCCCTGAGCTCTGCTGTTAGAGCATAGACAGAGCGTAGACATTTTGTAAACAAGGGTGGATGTGTTCCAATAAAACTTTATTTACAAAAGCAGGCGTCTGTCCGGATTTGTCCCCAGGGCCGTAGATTGCTGACCCTTGTTCTAGAACATGATGAAACCGAGCTTGAGGTGAGTGCCCAGCATATTCTGCTGGTGCTGCAGAGAGGCTAAAGGTACTCCATTAGGGGCGAATGACAGGTAATTCAGGTGTCTATTCCTAGGGTAGTAAAACATCCCAAGCAGCAGTATCTGAAGTGGGGTGGGGGGTTAGGGAATAGGCAATGTGGTGCTTGTAGTAAAAAACACATCAGCTTTGAATGCTGACAGATCTGGGTCCAAGACTCAGCTCCTCGGTGAGCCAATAAAGCACCAGGGTCAGCCCCTTCACCTCTCTAAGCCTCAACGTTCTCATCTGTAGAATGGGGAGAGTTAGCGCCATCCCGCGGTTGTGAGGATTAAATGAGATACTATTTCTAAAACCATGGCATCTAGCAAACACTCAGTAAACAAACGCTCTGGATTTCACAGACGTGAATTTTTGGAAAACAACAACAACACCTGAACATACATAACGAAGGATGTCGATCCTTCAAAGGAGGCTTCTGGGAGGCCAGCCAGGCTGCCAGGCATGGCACGTTTTGGAGCCAGCTGCTGCTTAGCCTTTGACGCCTTGGCAGTTTCCTCAGACTGTCTTTGGTGGCGGCAGGTCCTCCTTCTTGGAGAGTGGACTTGATTTCTGGACGGAGCCCAAAGTTAAACGGAGCCAGGCCTGATGAGCAAGGTAGAAGATGGAGCTGGCTGAGATCACTTTGGGCGATAAAGGACCCGCGATTGCAAAATAATGAGCAGGGGTTACTTGCGTGGCTTGGACCCTGGCTCTGAAGGAAAGCCCCGGAGGAGCCTTCCAACAGCGCTCTGAGTGCCCGTGGCCTTTTGGGAATAGCGAGGGACGATTACGACAGGGGAAACACCTTTTTGGAAGGGCAAGACCTGGGGTGTGTGTGGTCTTATTAGGCTATAGTCATATCTTGCAGGATTTGTTTCTTTATTCATTCACCCATTCATTCATTCATTCATTCACTCATTCAGCCTTTCTGGAGCTTTAGGCCCTGCGCTAGGCACTGGGTGAGGTGCTGATCGTGGCTTCATCCCTAGCTCCAGGCTTGTAGCCAGAAGCGGATACAATTCCAAGAAGCATCGGAGGGCGCCTGGGGGTTTCAGTTGGTTAAGCGTCCGCTTCTCGGTTTTGGCTCAGGTCAGGCTCTCACGGCTCATGAGATGGAGCCCCGCTGTGGGCTCTGTGCCAACAATGTGGAGCCTGCTTGAGATTCTCTCTCTCCTTCTCCTTCTGACCCCACTCAGAATAAATAAACATTAAAAAATAAAAAAGAAACATCTAGGCTATGGCAGTCTAGGCAGATGGTGCCTCTAGCGCTGTGCAGTGCGCAACCTGTACAATGGTACGTGTCAGCCTTACTTTATGGGAGAAAAAAGTAAGGACATAAGTTATATTCATAGGGCCAGGGAGGCATGTGAACTGGATCATTAAGGAGGTGAAGGAATTTTCAAGGCCCAGGGGGCGGGGGAAGGGAATATCAGACTCAGGCACAGAGTGTACCAAAGCGCGGAAAGGAGTATGTTCAGTGAGGAAGTATGGTCAGTGGATAAAGAGAATGAGACATCTGGCGGATTTTGGGAGGAGGCAGGCAGGCTGGGGGCAGTGAGGCTGAGGGGACTGAGTCAAGATCTCCCAGGGGCTGCTGGGGGAGTCAGTGAGGTCCGCGAATGTCAGACATTCCATTCCTCTGAGCTGGCCTCCCAGCCTCTGCCCGAGGGAGAGACGCGAGAAAGAACACGGGCCTTGGTGCGGCACACATCACGTCTGGATCCCAGCTCTGTGGCCTGTAAGCTGTGTGTTGTCCCGCCAGTCACTCAACCTCTCTGAGCAGGAGTTTCCTAACCTGCAAAATGGAAGTCCCAGTAATGTCCACCGCTAGGAGGTTGGGGGTGGGGGTGGGGGGGCGGAATTGGCAAGATATAGAGTCAGAGACCTAGAAGGTGCTCTGACAGCACCAGTCCCCCGTAGGTAGAGTCAGCCGGTGATTATTCTCATTTCCCACATTCCCTAGAAAGTTGGCCTCGGTCTCCACATCGCCCTCCTTAGCATTAGCATCAGAGAGCACTTTCCCTGCGCTTAGCACTGCACTGCCTCCTCAGAGGTCTTTTAAAATGCAAATCTGCCCCCTTTGGTCACCGGAGCCGCAGGTAAACCGGTCAATGACACCCCCCGCCCCACATTCCTTTGACCCTGGAGCGGAAGGGCGGGGCGCAGAGAGGTGCAGGAAGGGAGGAGGGGGGCTTACTTACTCCCCCAGCTGGAGACACAGCTGGGAAGCTCCCGGGGCTGAAACCAGAAAGATGAAGGATAGGATCCCCAAGGGCGTACTGAATTTCCCAGTGCACCGGGGTGTGGCCTGGGGTCCCGCTGGGTCGGTTCTGGGTGCGGGGCTGGGACTCAGGCGCTGCCCTCAGGGGACAGACAGCCTGGCTGGAAAACCGGATGTAAACAGATAAGTAAGGCCCAGAGGGCAAGGCGATGCTGTCATCCTCATCGTGATGGCCACCTGTTACTGAGCATTTACTGTCTCAGGAGAGACTGGTCCCGTGCCGAGAATCTTGTTACCTTTATTTCTAACTGGGGATGGTTGTTAGTAACCACTTTTTGCAGATGGGCAAACAAGTTCAGATGGAGCATAATGTGCACTGGTCAGGGTCAGAAAGCTAGAAAGTGATAGGGACTCTGAAACCCAAGTTCTCGGCCAGAACTGGAAGATCGGCCCAACATGTCTGAGTTCCAGTGAGGGGTTTCCTTTCTGCGTTTGGGTCTAACGTGGGAGAGAGAGACTGTGAATAAAAAGAGAGGACTGCAAATATGAAGAAGTAGTGCAGTACAAAAAGATGTATGAAATAGAGCCTCCTTGTAGGTGCAAAATGTGGAATAATGCAGATCTCTCCGGTTTTCAAAAAGACATCTGTCATTGCATCATTTCAAAACCAAGTGGCCCGAGTGAAACTTACATGGTGGTACACTATTGCCCTGCGTTAGTGACATTTTCATGGATAAAGAGACATGTCCACCATCCCTCTCAGGGGTTTGCTTGGATTATTTGAGTTTTTAATGATGTACAGATCCTCAAAAATAAACTCCTTTGGAAACTGCGGCCCTCGGGGCCCACAGGTGACTCCGTTGGTTAAGTGTCCTCACTTCAGCTTAGGTCACGATCTCATGGTTCATGGGTTTGGGTCCCACGTTGGGCTCTGCGCCCTGTGGAGCCTGCTGGGGATTCTCTCTGCCCCTCCCCTGCTCGTGCTCTCTTTCTCTCTCTCAATAAATAAATAAAAACTTAAAAAAATTAATACCACGACCTCCCTTAGGACTGTTAGTGCATGCATATAAGACTTTGTCACCCGTGTAAATCACAGGTCCCCGTATGGCTCCTTCATGGTCGAGTTGCGAGCAGAGAACTTTAGCTTTCAAATTGCACTTCTCTACCAAGTTCTCCCCACCTTCACACGTCAGGGTTCCGTGGGATCCTACGGAGTCGAGTGGGGGAGAAAGAAGAAGATGAGGACCACACCAGGGGACTGCAAAGTTCTAGCCTGTGACTGTCCCCTTGGTCATATGTTTCTGCACTCTCTCTGTGCCCCGCCACACCTTGCGGGTAGGCATTCCCGGCCGAGGGAGGTTCCCAACGCACCCACCGCCTACCCTAGGCCGTCCCCTCTGCCTGGCTTGCCCCTCTGCTCCATTAGGAGTCGGCTCCTGCACTGTCCCTGTCTGCCTGTGTCCCTTCCCTAATGCCCCCCCCCCCACATCCTTCCGCTGCATTCCACCCCCAGCACACCTACTTCCGTCACAAGGACCTGCGAGGCTTTGTTTATGGGTCAGTTTTATCTGTAGGCGGTGAGCTCTCAGAGGGCAAAGGCCAACTCACTTTCCTTCCCCCCCATCCTCAGCACTGAGCCCCGCATACATAGCAGGTCCTCAATAAATACCGCCACACAGTAGGCGCCTAGGAAAGCCTTTTGGGAATTGCGCCGAATTGAAAAGGAGAGTAAGAAGGAAACATTCCTGCACAGAGACTGCTCTTCCTCTGGGAAAGGCTGTGCGCCCAGCTCTTCATTTCCGCTCTCTTGCACATTCTGGGTGGGTAAGCAGGCACGCCGGTGCGCTCTATCCCCGCCTGGGGTACACTGCTTCCAAAGATGGCTGAGGAAATTAGTCCTATCTCACAGGCTCTTTTGCAACAAATGCTGCCCCTGTTCCCATCCAAAGGCAGGGCCGTGTATCCTGTGCTTGAATCCGGTTGGCCCTCTGCCTTGCTCTGAACAAGGGCAAACTGAGGCTGCTCAACGTCTAGGCTTCGATCCCAAGAGGTCTTACAGCTTCCTTTTTTTTTTTTTTTTTCACTTTCTTGACACCAGCCACCACGTAAAGAAGCCCAAGCAATTCTGCTGGAAAGGTCACGCGGAGGAAAACCAAACATCTCTGCTAGCAGCCAACACTAACCACCACACATGGGAGTGGGGGCCATCTTGGATGTTGCAGTCCAGCCGAGCTCCCGGCCAGGGCGCAGCCATGCGTGTGAGTCCAGCCAGCACTATGTGAAACCAAAGAGCTGCCCAACTGGGGTCCCCTCCTCTGCCGAATTCCTGACCCACAGAATCAGCAGCAATAAAATGGTTGCTATTTCAAGCCACTGGGAGATAGGCCCACTATGTTTCAGGGCTGTTTGTTACACAGCAATAGATAACAAATACATTGGCTTCCTCTGCGTGAGTGGAAATTTTGGTGAGGGGGTGTCTGTGGCTTTCGATCTGGGAGTTGGATACGGTATATTAGAATTCAAGCTTTTCTGTTTTTATGTGTTTGTTTGTTTTTAGTTTTAAAATATTGCAGGGTCCCTTAATGCCATGATCAAAGGCAACATCCCCGGAATGGGGCAAATCGACAGTGGATACCGTCTATCAGATCAGGACACATTGGGAAGCATGAACCGCATTTCTGCCGTGATCCAGCTGAACGGACCCAACCTGAATGCGATCACAATGAAACATCTGACAAACCCAGACTAAGGGACAGTCTAGAAAACAACAGACCTGTCCTCTGAAAAAATGTCAATATCTTGAAAGGCAAAGAAAGACCAAGGAAATGTTCTAGATTATAAGAAGCTAAAGAGACATGACAGCTGAATGCCATCTGTGACCCAGAAGTTCCTTTTGTTTATAAAGGACGCTGTAAGGACAGATGGTGAGATGTGTGTAAAGTATGTAGATTAGATAAAAAGACTATCAGTGCAGGGGCGCCTGGGGGGCTCAGTTGGTTAAGCGTCCGACTTCGGCTCAAGTCATGATCTCGAGGTTCATGAGTTCGAGCCCCGTGTCAGGCTCTGTGCTGACAGCTCGGAGCCTGGAGCCTGCTTCAGATTCTGTCTCCCTCTCTCTGCCCCTCCCCTGCCCACGTTCTGTCTTTCTCTCTTTCTTTTTCAGAAATAAAAACATTAAAAAAAAAGTCTAGAAAGATGTGTTATGTTTGCACCTTAATGGGGAACAGCTCTGAATAAAAGAACATACACATTTCTCTTCTGTATGTCCGTATCTAGAGAGAAAGAGACCGGTGTGGGGGAGCAAAGCATTCACATTTGGGGAATCTGGGTGAAGAGCATGTGGAGATTCTTTGTACTGTTCTAGGAACTTCGCTGAAAATCTGATGTTATATTAAAATAAAAATGATTTTTTAAGTTTATTTATTTTGAGAGAGAGAGAGCGAGAGGGCAAGCAAACGCACGTGCGAATGGGGCAGGGGCAGAGAGAGAGGGAGAGAGGGATTCCCAAGCAGGCGCCACACTGCAGCGTGGAGCTCGGCGTGGGGCTCGATCTCGCGAACTGAGCAGAAATCAGGAGTTGGACGCTTAACCCACTGGGCCCCCCGGGCGCCCCTGAACTTTTTTTTTTTTTTTTTTTTTTTTAAGGAGGAAGCAGAGTCTGGTGTGTCTGTGGCTGCCCCTAAAGAAGAAAGAACTATCCATTCTGGGGGCAGGCCTCTCCCTGGAAATCCCTGACGCAGAGAGCTGACCCTCACCCCTCTCTGGTCTCCCTCTGGTGGCATGCGTGTGACAGGGAGCCGCTCCGTGTCCCGCAGGCCACAGGCACCTGGCAATGGTCAGCCGCTTCCATTAATGTCACCCCCTCCATCCCCGTTCATGTCCAGTGTTCTCCGAAGGCAAGGCCAGGTTCTGGATCTTTCACAATGGCAGTCCTTCTTCGGAGATCTCAGGAGCACTTTGCCAAGGGCTCGGCTACAAGTCCGTCTTCCCTGTTCACCTGAATTTGAGGCATTCCCATTCAGAGGCCACAAGCACAGGATAACGGAGCCCCTCTCTGCTAACAAGCGTTACTGAGAGAACACTGCTGGGGAGGTGCCACTATTTTATCGGCCTGGGCCAGGGACCAGGGTGAGAGAGGAAAGGATGTTTGTCCCCAAAGGAACAGCATGGCTGGTGTTGACCGGATCAGGGCCACCCAAGTCTCCCCGGCTCAACAATGCATGTTCCTGGGCAGTCCTTCTGGAGGGGAGCGGGGCAGAAGAAGCCGGGACTTTGGGATCCCAGAGACCCAGGAGAGCAGTACCCGACTCGCCACTTCCTGGCTGGGTGGTGCTGGTTGGCCCCCATCCACAGCGGACATGATCAAACGCAGCTGGGGTATGAATGAAGTGTTGTGAAAGTGCCCGGCACCAAGTGGGTCCATCCACAAAATCAATGCTTCAATTCCACACACATGTACTGAGCACCGACTCAGAGCCTCATACAGCAGGACGTGAGCTCTTCCTCCCTGGTCCCCGAGAGGGGGCACATTGCCCTCCCCGCTGCCCTCCTCCACCCTGCTCTTCCCCCTCTCCGATGACAACATCATGGCCGAAGCTCAGGTGTTAGACCATCAGAGTTCAGATCTGAGCCTCGCAGCGGGGAGGGGGGAGGGCACTTGTGGGGATGCGCACTGGGTGTTATACAGATCTGAGCCTTGCCTCTGAGTGACTGAGGTTAAGTTACCCCACCTCCGTGCCCTTTGGTTTCCCTCCCAGAAATGGATACAGTAACTGCCTCTACCTCTTACATTGCTGTGGGGCCAGCTGAGTCCATCCATGCCAATGACCACTAACAAGGAATGCTTAAGAAGCAGTTACTACATGGAGACACAGGTCTGCACTGTTTATTAGTATTGCCCCCAATTTGCAGATAAGAAAGCTGAGGCACAGAGACTGTGTAATTTGCCCAAGATCACAGACGGAATAGGAAGCAGGGCTGAAATCTGACTCAGAAGTCTGTGTTCTTAATCCCTGAGTTCTGATGCCAAGGGCATACAGTGAGTGCTCAGTTCATGTTTGCAGCCGGGGCCAGCTTCGTGGGTGTCCGGCCTGAGCAGTTACACAGACCCTGGCACTTAGAAAGGTGATGCTTGCGTGGTAATGCTCTCCTGTCACTGTTTTGAAATGCTTAATAATGTTCATAAGGGGTCCCACATTTTCATTTTGCACAGGGCCCAAAAATTACATGGCTGGGCTTACTCAGAAGCGTAAGGGGGGCAGTCGCTGACTTCTTTTTCTCCCTCCTTCCCTGGACCGTGAGCTCCTCCAGATCTAAGACGCAGCTCCGTTCTCTCTCTCTCCCTCCCTCCGGGTCCATGGCCAGCAGGTAGCGAGCAGGTGCTCACACTCCCGCCAGGGGGGCCGGAGGTGGCCAGAGCCACAGCTCTTGGCCCTGCCCCCACTTCCCTTCGACACCCCAAGAATACTTCCGGCCCAGGGAGCCTCAAGGACATCTGCTGGAGAAGGAGCCTCTCCTGAAGTGTGTAGGAACTCTGGCTGGTGGCCGCCAAAACCGGGTCTTTCCAGAAAGGTCGGGAGAGAGAGGTATAGCCCGGAGACACTGCAGCTCGCGGAATCTGGGGGAATCCCAGCCAGGCCTGAAAGACCCTAATAAACAGCTAATTATGATGCTGACTCTGTACATAGGGGCAGGGAGACCCAGTGTAATGCGTAATTACAGCCGTTGGAGCCGGAGCCCGGGCTGGGTTTTCTCCAGCCTGGAGTTAACGCAGAATCCAAAGTGCAGGCTTGTGGCCAGGGCACAAAGGTAAATAAGACCCTCCCTAAGGGCAGACATGATTCAGTCCAAAGGTTCAAGTGCGGCAGTTACAATGATTACAAGAATTCTTGTTCTCCTTTATATAGGGAGCAGGTGTGGGGGGGGGGCGGGGAGAACGAACATTTGTTCAGCTCATACTCTGCACCAGCCTCTGCCCTTGATGGATGCTATAGAGAGGGTGTCGGGGCCAGGCAGGAGGTGGGCTTCGGCATTTCTGGGATTGGACTTGGACGTCACTCCTCTCCCCTGCCTGCCCTCCCCTCCTCCATAAACATCTCCGCTTACTGACATTTTAAAAATAGAGGTGAAAAATCACATAACATAAAAATTAACTGTGTTGGGGCACCTGGGTGGCTCAGTCGGTTAAGCATCCGACTTCGGCTCAGGTCACGATGTCGCAGTTTGTGGGTTCGAGCCCCGTATCGGGCTCTGTGCTGACGGCTCACAGCCTGGAGCCTGCTTTGGATTCTCTCTCTCTCTCTCTCTCTCTCTCTCTCTCTGCCCTTCCCCTGCTCATGCTCATGCTCTGTCTCTCAAAAATACATAAACGTTAAAAAGAATTTTAAAAAATCAACTGTGTTAAAGTGTACAATGCAGTGACCTTTAGTACACTCATAATCTGGGGTGACGACCGCCTCTATCTATTTCTAAAATATTTTGTTTTCCTCAAAAGAAAGGCCTGGACCTGTCACTCATTTATCAGGTCTCCCTGCCACTCCGGCCATGTCCTTCCTCCTTCTAGCCAGCACCTGGCAGCCATTAATCTGCTTCCTGTCTCTATGGAGTCGCCTATTCTGGACATGACATATAAACGGAACTGTAGCATATTTGACCTTCGGGGACTGGCCTCTTGCTTTTAGCCTCATGCTTCTGAGGTTCCTTCACACGGTAACATGTATTAGTACTTTGTTCCTTTTTATGGCCACATACTATTCCATATTGGACATGCCATGTTTCATCTATCCACTTATCCACTGACGGACATTGAGTTGTTTCTACTTTCGGGCTTTTATAAATAATGCTATGAATATTTGTGTACAGGTTTTTGTGTGGACATGTTTTCAACTCTCTTGGGTAGAGACACCTAGAAACCGATTACTGGGTCAGAGGGCAGTTCTACATTGGACTTTCTCCTGTTTCCCACGCCGGCTGCACATCTGACGTGTCCACCAGCAATGCCCGAGGATTCCGATTCCTCCACATCCTTGTTAATATATTTTTCCTTCTTTCTTTCCTTTTCTTGCCTGGCCAAGGTATGCCTCTGTCTGCCACTGGGGCTCAAACACAGACCCGGGTCTTCCGGATTTACAGGAAAGCCCTATGACAGCCAGGGTGCAGGAGGAGTTATTTACACCCCCTCCCTGGAAGAATTCATCACAGTGGAAGAGCCGGATAGAAAGAGTGGCTCCAGGCGGTGCCGTTTAAGCACCGATCCTAAAGGGGCCGGGTGATGATTTTGGTGTCACAGCTGCCCTCTCTGCTGGGCGCGTGGGTGGCTGGGGGGGAGTGGCCGTGTGTGACGTGAGAGAGAGCCTGGTCACTTGGAGCTCACATTCAGACACAGCGGTGACCCTCTGGCCTCCCCTCAACCGCGAGGAGAGCTTCCCAGGAGCCCTTCCTACGTGTCTCCTTGGTTCTCACTGGATCACGTGCCCCCCAGTGAACCAATCCTGGGCACGGGGAACGGGGGGGGGTCCCATGCCTGGAGGTGTCATTTGGGTAGAACAGCCACTGAGGATGGGGGCAGGGCAGGGTCAACCACAGGAACCAGAGCCAGAGTTTGAACCAGAGCTGCCTTCCTCTTGACCTCCCCGATTCGGAAAGGCAGGCCTGGGAAGGATTGTGCCGCAAACCTCCAGCCCAGTCCCACCCTCACCCCTGGCTGCCTCTCCTATCACGGTTTCTGGCACCTGGGCATCGCCCGCCTTGGATTTTCCCTGGGCGCCCGCGGCGTCCGGCCGACCGGTGACCCCACACGTCCACACTCCAATCAGCCAGCCCGGCTCGGAGCTCGGAGCTGGGCCAGAGAGCTTTTCGTTCTGCTCCTGATCATGTGTCCACCCGCATCAGCTTTTCCCGGCCGCCCGCAGGGCCGCGCGGCCCCTCAGAGCCGTTCCTGTTCAGTCAGATACATCAGGCCGATCAGCAGTTCTGGGCCGGGGGCCGGGGGCGCAAGGGCCTTCTGGATGGTCT